ACACAGCGGTCATTGGTCTCATCCGAGATGGTGACGAGTCAGCCTACAGACGGGAGGTTGAGCAGCCGGTCCTGTGGTGTAGCCGCAACAACCTGGAGCTGAACACGTTCAAAGCCATGGAGGACCTGGACAGCTCACGGGTCAAAAGGAGGGCAGAGAGGATCGCTGCAGACCCCTCACACCCGGGACACAATCTGTCCGAACTCCTCCCCTCTGGACGGCATTAAAGGTCACTGTGCACCAAGACAACCAGGCACAGGGACAGTTTCTTCCCCCGGGCCATCACACTGATGAACACTTGACCCACAACAGTATGTCTGGACAATAACCCTCAGTGCCACACCTGTAAATATATACCTTGTAGATATCGATCTGTCAAATCCAGACTGTGTGTATATAGTACTTTATTTTTACTGCTAAGGCACATTCCTTTGCTTGATTGCACATTAATTCTTTACTTCTGTTCTCAGCCTTATCTTGGTTACCTGCCCACTGCTGCCTTACATAATGCCTTGTATGCATTGAGAGCCGCTGTACCAGAGTCAAATTCCTCATGTGTCTAATACACCTGATTGATTGATTGATTTTATTCAAACATGCAGAACAGAACAATTGAACAAATGACAACAACACACATAATTTCACATATCCAACCAATACTAATCCAAAATCAGTTTGCTTACACCTAATACATGTTTGAATGGAGTAGGAAGAAGTCAGACTTATCCAGTCCTACCCCATGACATCATATTACAAAATTTCATGCATCATCAGCTGCAAGCAGTATCTCTACATAGATAAAACAGAGTGTTTCCTCAATGCCTTCTCGAATAAATCTTATTCTTGCATATATCTTGTATAACACATACATTTATATTTATATTTAAACTCCTCAATTCTAGTACTATTTTTCATGTCCACAGTTAAATTATTCCATAATTTGACCCCACTTATAGAAATACAAAATCTTTTTTTGGTTGTTCGTATAGCATGAACTTTTAAATTTAAGCGTCCCCTTAAGTCATATCCCCCTTCCCTTTCACCAAATAACTTTTGGATTCC